AGCCATTTTCTTGTTTCAGGCAATAGATAACCTGTTTTATCGATGAGATCTCTAAGGTCTTCTATTCCTATTTTATAAATTATAGCTTGCAGTTTTAAACTTCCTGGTACGAAGTAATTAACATATATAATAGAAAGGAACGCCTAAAAATATTATGTAATATTATTTACTATATCTACATTCTACATGATAATATATTAATGACTATACTACTTTATTTTTACCTCTAAATTATTCGTCTGTTCATACATTTCCGCCTCTGTTTAATCGGTATAATAATTACGATTACGCCGTTCCAAGACAACGTATTTCATGGATATTTAACGGTCATATTAAGTTGCAATCACGCGGAAAGCTATAAATTACTAGCTGGCCGCCCGCGACTTTATTCGACTAATACTGATTCTAAAAATTAATTTACCATTACATTCTTTAAGTCAAGAATGAATAGGGTACTTCAGGGTAAGCGTGCTCCATCGTCTACCTCATCATCGCTTACCATCAGATGAGATCGAACGCGAGACTATGCATAAAAATAAAATTATGATACATACTTAGTATGCATTATAGTCTTAAATTACCTCGCAATGGTGTTGGTATCTGGCACCAGAATATAAGAATTTTCAGAACATCGCACTGGAGATAAATCTACATACAATACAATTACCCATGAGAAAAGCACTCTTTTTTGCACGTCAATTTATTTATTTTAAGATTGAATTGAAGCCACTTAAAACTTATAGATAGATATAGGTTTGTCGGTTTCATCAGAATACGTGGAAAGTAAGGATGCTGTGCGGCTTCAGGTTTCAAATGCTAAAAAAAAAGTTTTGGAATGTTTTATTTTTGCCTTGACTGGCTAAATTATTGTGTTGAGTGTGAATTGTTACTGGAAATACACTGAGAATGCCAGATCTAAATACCACTTAAGTTGCTGGGGCTGTTACTTATAATCACAGAATAAATAATAGTACAAGAACTGTAATTGAAACTTATCACCTACAAGCAAGTGGCTATATATTATGGATATCATAATTTGTGGTACCTACATCGAATTGTCAAGAGGTAACCGCAGACCGAACCTCGCAGGACAAGGACGTAAACGGTAAACTGCGGACAGTGATGACCAATTCATAGTTACCAGCGTGCTTAGAAACTGGACCTTAACTTCTGAAATAAGAACGGAACTCCAAGAAGTTCTGATTGCTATAGTAAGCATAAGAACTTATGAGAGTAAGACTGAAGTCGGCCCAGGAATAAATTCACACTTGCCTGCCATATGCTATCGAGTAGCTCGAGTTAATTTGCTCGCAATAACGAAAATTTAAAATGGCGAAGCTTGGAGTCAAGTTCTATTCCTACATGAATTAAGATTTTACCTGAAGCCAAATGATGGACGGGTTAAAGTCACGCCCGGGAGAGAGGTACGCTCAGTGCATCGTCATTGTGGTAAATCAGTAAGTAAAAAATTGCATCTAACAATTTCATTGGTGACTGTGGATATCTAACCCGGGTTGCTCGCGTACTGTGAAATTTGCAGCAAGCGCTTAGCCTCCTACCTACTTGTAAGGTACCTACTGTAATAACGTTGATGATGATGAGAGGAAAATGATTTGCCTTATGAATTAAAGTTCATAATATTTTTATCTGAACTGAACCCTTGAGTAGTGCATTTCACGGAACGGAGTTAGCTATGTGATTCCTAAATGTTACAATTATCTGCAAATGTGAAGTTTACCATCTAATTGATAACTCAAAAAATGTTTTCTTTTATTATATTGTAAACTTATATAGAACAGTGTTTTTGTAGTGGCAGGAGTGATATGGAAAATGGCCGCCGCGCTGCCCCAATGCGTGTTGGCGAACTTCATATGACATCGAAATATTGATCAAATAATTCAGAAATACAAATGGCATGCATGTTGCATATGATCATTATATTATAAATAAAAACAAAAGTTGCAAAAAATTTAATAATCATTTCCGCGTTTTTTATTTGCATGCCGTTTTCTATAAACATATTATTTTAAGTATATACCGAAAATGGCATGCGTATTAAATAACACGATCGTATTGCATACCTTAAGCGAAAGCGCAAGGTATGTTCTACTATCGCCTAAAAATGAAGATTCCAACGTTTTATCGAATAAAATCGTATCTAGCAATCATATTATACATTTATAAATGATATAAAAAGCACATTGTTAGAAAGATAAATGATTGTTGAACTTATTAATATTTTTTTTTAAATCGATTAAATGCTATTTTTAAATAAAAAAGGGGTTTTAGTGGCTTATGGTGTGGATTTATCATGTCCCCAAGGCTTGTAAACACGATAACTTTTGAAAATATCAATTCTTTAACTCAATCTATTTTTTAATCTCTTCATCTATCATGTGGGAAGCCACTGAATATAAATGGCAGTGTAATTTTGTTTTGTTTAGCTATAATTAATTTTTTTCGGCTCCAAAATGGCGAAATTTTCGTTGATTTGGTAGCCTTGTATGTAAATTATTTCTGTAAATAGGGAGCTACAGCCACAGAGTAGTTTACTAACTCACTCAGTTCGGCGTCACAATATCGGCGTGGACATTGTTTCGGTTGTTTACAGCGGCTCAAAAAGATCGCTGTACAAATACACAATATTCCAATAACCAAATTTCTTCAATACTTGATGTTCCTACCGTTTGACGTTCGCGCGAAATCGGATTGGTTGCTTGTGGGGCGGGCCGCAAGTGATGGAATGCAATGCAGTCACTAGCACGGCGTGTTCTCCCCCGGTATAACCTCTATATCGTGTCGGGTTTTGCTAGCAAGTTTTTATGCACCGACGAGGATTTTGTTGAGTTTAAGAAAATAGATTGACGGCGCGGATCAGTTAATTGTTTAGGAAGTTAACATTGATTGCGATCAACGTCTGAATTTGTGTGTTGTGCGCGCCTGATTTACTATTGAATATTTGGTTTTTTGTAGACCGCCGCGAATTTGGTTATTCTAATTTGATTGCGTATATAAGTGCATTTGCAATATTTAACTTGCTTGTGTGACGTGGAATCTTGCGCGCACGCCGAGTAGAGATACGCTAGGTTAATTTTGAATTCTTATTGCGGCGTAGTATTTAATATAGTACGAAGGAATTTAGTTGTTGTTTGTAACGCTGAACTTTGTGACTCGTGAAGAGATCGCGTTAGTTCCCTATTTGTAATTTGGTGATAAATGATCCGGAACTTTGAATGTTGAACTTTGAACTCTTGTTCGTTACTTGTGTCGGGTATCACGTGTTTGATTTTACGATGAACGTTGAAGTTATTTAAATGTACAATAAAGTTGATAGACTGAAATAGTGACATGAAGAAAGAAGTGGTTACTTGGTGACGCCTGCTAGAGTGATGCAGCATTGTGGGGCAGCATGGGACCAGGCCGCTGCCCGGTCACCTCAGCTGGGCCAGGTCACATAAATAAACACTACCACACACCACTTTACATGCACCTACACCTACACCTACCTACGGCCTGACAGAGCCTTGGTGCGGTCTTAGCTTCGGAGCCAGGTACGTACTATTTATTTACCTAGCTTTATCACTATCGTGTAGGTCAACTATCCATAAGCATTTTGAGCCCCGTCCCCTGCTGCTCGTCGATGGGTTTACTCATGGGCCCTAGTCCCTTGAACCTTTGTTGGGGCAGCTAGGGGCGTTATTATAATAATAAGAGATTTTTTTTATTACAATATTTTAAAAGCACATAATAAATAATAGTAATACGTACTAAAAGTTAGTATCAATTTTTGTGTCATGGGTGACATTTTCATGGTTTTCGAGGATGTTGAAACCGATAGGGTTGTCGAAATGTAAATCCAAGATGGCGGCCGCAATAGGTATCAATATTTTCATCATGGGTGTCATTTTCATGGTTTTCTAGGGTGTTGAAGCCGATAGTGTTGTCGAAATGTAAATACAAGATGGCGGCTGCAATAGGTATCAATTTTTTCATCATGGGTGTCATTTTCATGGTTTTCGAGGATGTTGAAACCGATAGGGTTGTCGAAATGTAAATCCAAGATGGCGGCCGCAATAGGTATCAATATTTTCATCATGGGTGTCATTTTCATGGTTTTCTAGGGTGTTGAAGCCGATAGTGTTGTCGAAATGTAAATACAAGATGGCGGCTGCAATAGGTATCAATTTTTTCATCATGGGTGTCATTTTCATGGTTTTCGAGGGTGTTGAAGCCGATAGTGCTGTCGAAATGTATTTTAAACTACTTTAAAAAATTCCGTATAATCATGTTATACGTAATTTTTTTAATGCGCTTAAGGTATGCCCAATCGGATTTACCAATTTTTTAAATAATAATGAAAGTTTCATAAAATATGTGAAACATTTCCGTGTTCTTAATTTACATGCAATTTTGTATTTTATAAAAAAATATTATTTTAAGTTTATGACGAAAATAGCATGCGTATTTACATCTATAGTTCAACAGAAAAAAATGTTATAAAAAATTGAAAACGAAAATTTCTCAATCTCTGTAAGCTTAAATAAAAAATTACAAGCATTTCAAAATCACCAGAAAACAATTTTTTATTTTACGTGACTTTTGTTAAAACTAACAATCTATACTAATATAATAAAGCGGAAGAGTTTTTTTTGTTTGTTTAAACGCGCTAATATCTGGAACTACCAGTCCGATTTGAAAAATTATTTTTGTATATTATAGCCAAATTTATGTGGAATAGTATAGGCTATCTAGCATTAAGCTATATTACTCAGCTAGCCTTAAATATGGATATTTGTTAAGCAAGTCAGAAGAAAAAGCACTCCCGAAATGATTTATCCGCGTACGCTGGTGTTATCGTTAGGGATACCTAAAATACAATGTTCTAGAAAAATATAGACCTTTACTCCATCTAAAAAAAGGTCCGCGATACCATATGTCTATTTCTTATACATAAGCCATAATTTGGTATTTTGTGGCAAAAAAATATTGAAAATTTAAAAGTGATTTATGAGCGTTATTATTAGGCATGGCCTATTTATCCTTACGAACGAAAGTTACTTCATCATCAAGACAATTTTACGAAGATTAACTTTGTTCTTTATACCATGTTATTTGGACGCATAGTTTAAGAGATAATGTAAAATTAAAATAATTCAATACTTGGCTGGGCGCGCGAACGACGCTTAAACCCTAGCCGTTATAAAATGGTTGAACTATGTCATGTCGCGCACCTCGGACACGTGATGACGCGGGTGAAACCGCGGGGCACAGCTAGTATACTATATAAAATATTTCAGTTATTTAATAAAGTAAACCCGAGTACTTAATAATAGAAAAAATTACTTAGTTTGAAAAAAGCCACGTACCAATGTATTGGCAGCGGTTTTTTTTGTTTATTTAAATATTTTTTTTATCAATAAACATGCATGCCATTTTTTATTGAAGTTTAAAATAATATTTACAGACAATGTAAAAATTACATGCAAAAAAAAGCAGGGAAATATTCCTTTTTTATTTTCGTTAAAAAACTTTTTTTATGTCAGGCTTGTGTAATATGCATGCCATTGTTTTATCAACTTAAAATAATGTTTTATAATGAAATATTGAATGGCATGCAAAATAAAGTCACGGAAATTATAACAGCGTTTTTTGCATTTTTCGTGATGCATGCCACTACTTTACAACTTCCTGTTGTGTATGCCAAATTTGCTAACGTCAATAAATTATAAAAATTAAGTATTGTTCAAATGGCATGCAGTTTGAAATCACGTAAAAGTTGTATTGAATTTTCACAACATTTTCTTAATATTTTCCACCCTTGGTCATACGAGGGGGGTGCATGCCAATTTTCGTTAGTATTTTTGAGATAAAAAAAAAACTAATTTTTTACAACGGAATGCAATTTGTAAACACGGAAATGTTCTATTTTTTTTTCATTTCTACGTAACCCTTTGAGCCCCGTCGGCCGTTGCGAATTACATGCCATCAATTATTATAGCTTAAATTTGTTCCAACTACGTTATATTACAAAGGCATGCCATATAATGTAACGGAAAAATACCAAAATTCTTTACACAAAGAGAAGCCATTTTCTTTATGACATGCAAGCGCGCAAGGGCTCGTAACCATTCTATCTTTCATATTTTTAATATGAAAGATAGAATGGTTATATGAATATAAGGTACTCCCCTTGTTGCCTCAGCCAGTATCGGAATCCTCGGCGTCGACATATCGAGTAGCGTGCAGTTTCGTGGTCACTTGGAAGAGAAGGCCAAATTGGCCTCTAAAAAGCTTGGCGTGCTCAGCAGAGCGGGACAGTATTTCATGCCGGCTCAACGCCTGCAACTTTACAAGGCGCAGGTTCGGCCTCACATGGAATACTGTTCCCATCTCTGGGCTGGGGCTCCCCAGTGCCAGCTTCTTCCACTTGACCGCATCCAGCGCAGAGCGGCTCGAATCGTCGACGACCGAGTCCTTTCCGATCGGCTCGACTCATTGGCACTGCGAAGAGATGTTGCATCTCTTAGCATTTTCTTTCGCATTTACCATGGGGAGTGCTCTGAGGAATTGTTCGGATTAATCCCAGCCGCCAAATTTCACGAACGCACATCTCGGCAGAACTCCCGATACCATCCACACCATCTGGATGATTGGCGGTCCACCACTGTGCGATTTAGAAGATGTTTTCTTCCTCGCACAACTTCCTTGTGGAATAGTTTACCACCAGCGATTTTTCCGGACCGATACGACTTAGGGACCTTCAAGAAAAGAGCCTACTCCTTTTTAAAAGGCCGGCAACGCATCTGCAATTCCCCTGGTGTTGCGGTTGTTCATGGGCGGCGGTAGTCACTTACCATCAGGTGAGCCGCATGCTCGTTTGCCCCCTCTACTATAAAAAAAAATTTAGGGTTAGTTAGCAATTCTTAAAAAAGCATGCAGGAGAAAATGGGAGAATATTTTCTGTCACCATCTCCTAGTCTATTATACGAAACGATAAATATCACGCTTTAATGTAATTCGAATGACTATCTAACTTTTAAAAGGCAAAGTAGCGTAAAATGTAAAGTAGAACCGCGGCTAAAGGACTGGAAAAGACTATCAATAATCCATATTTTGTAATTTTTGTTGGGGCTTGATTATGAATAAAACACTTTGATGTATGGATGTAGTACTCTTATTGAACATATTAAAATGGAAATGTATGGAAATACATGTAACAGATATTTTGGAAATAAAGAAATTCTCTAAATTTATTTATGAAGTATATGGATTGTAAATGTTGTGAAGGTTATGTTATGGAGAGTTTGAAATATCCATATTATCTGGGGAATTCTTTTCATCACTTATGTCATTCATTTTAGATTCTATTATTGACGTTTCTTTTTCTTCGATAACAGTGGGAAGGGGAGTTTCGTCTCTAGATTTCCTATCATGTGGTGTTTTAGAATCTCGATGAGAACGACTCTTCGATCGTCGGCTGCGTGAACGTGAGCGTTTCCGGTCACGAGAACGAGAACGTTTTCGATCCCTGGACCTTGAACGTTTCCTTTCTTTAGATCTCGACTTCTTTCGGTCTCTAGATCTAGATCGTTTCCGATCACGAGATCTAGATTTTTTCCTATCTCTAGAACGGGACCGTTTCCTTTCCTTAGATCGCGATCTCCTTCTAGACTTTGAGCGTTTTCTCCTGGATCGTGATCGCGATCTACGCTTAGACCGCGATCGATCACGCTTTTTATCCCGTGATCTAGAGCGTTCTCGTCTCTTAGATGGGGATTTATCTTTATCTTTATCCTTCCTATCATCTTTATCCTTTTTCTCCTTATCTTTATCAATTTCCTTTTCTCTATCATCCAGCGGCGTCGATGCCTTGGATTTTGTTTCGGAACTATTTCCGTTGGTGTCAGGTATGACCTCTGTTTTATCTTTTCCCTCTTTCTCAATTTCTTTACCGACATCTTTACTAGGCGACTTAGATTTTTCTTTTTTATCTTTGTCTTTGTCTCTTTCACTAGAACTTTTCCGGTCTTTACGATCGCGATCACGTGAACGATCACGTTTAGAACGCGAGCTTCGATGTCGAGATCTAGAGCGGGATCTTCGAGAACTACGATGACGTGAACGAGACCTGAAAAAATATTTCAATACTTAGAAACAATATAAATATTTGGTGCAGAATTTTGTCGTTGTCAAATAGAAGGCCCGGTGAGGGCAGGCGACACACAACCAAAAACTAGATATATATGAAACTTTTGTACTTCGTTTCCGATTATTATTTTTGTGATTTCCATCTTTTTTTCATACTATTAGTTCGTTCTTAGGACTATAGATATATGTCAATAATCAATTACACTGCTGTTATTTGTCAATAACTGTTAATTTTAAATTGTTTACGTACTGTTTGTGACTGAATGACCAGGGTGTATTGTAGGACCATATACTAGTCATGCATTACTGATAATCATAGTTATTTCGATTAGTAGTATTAGTTATTAATTATTTTCTGTTGTTCTTGTAGTCTTCTATGATAGCTTTGAATAAAACTTTGAAAATTACAATATAAAGAAACACTCAGCAATAAACTAGAAGTAATACCCACTAGCCTTAGATTAGAAAACAGAATACGTTTCTTTACTACACAACACCTAATCGAGGCTTCCATGCCTAATATCAATAAAACACAAAAAAGAACTAAGAAAAAAATCAAACATTTATTTTAAAAAAACTAACGAAGCTGTCAAAAAAGACTACAAGAACCAAAGAAAATAGCCATGTAAATAAAATGGAAAATTGTAATAGTTCCTGCAAAGAATTATCAAGCCAAAATCACACAGATCTAAAGCCTAAAAGATAGCCAGAATGAAACTGAAATAGAGAAGATCTCAATGAAAAACCATCAGAGGAAACTTTGGAAGAACAAAAAGATGTATACAGCAATGCAAACAATGATGAACAAATCAATGCAACTGTAGACCCAATGGAGCTTAAGCATAGTACTGGCACATAATATTTTTTTTTTATAGAATTAGGGTGACAAACGAGCACACAGTCCATCTGATGGTAAGTGGTTGCTGTGGCCCATAGACATCTGCATCTATCCTCGTTTGTGAATTAAAATGCAGATGCGTTGTCAGCCTTGACGACTAAGATAGAATGCCTCTTCCAGTAAAATGGGTCTCCGGTTCTCTACACTCACCATACGAAAAACAGCAGCATTAAGCTGCTATTTTACGCTGGTATTCTGTGAGAGCGTGGTCCTTCCCCGATCGAGCCGACCCATTCGTGTTACAACTATACTATTAATATAGCTGCAGCATGGCTCTACCACGTAAACTATTCTGCAGAAAAAAATATTCTGCAGATCGAATTACGCTCACGAAATTAGAAAAGAATGGAGGAGAGTTTCCCATAGAGAGAGGGTTAAGACAACGGGATCCAATATCTCCAAAACTATTTATAGTGGCTCTCAAAGACACCTTTAAGAATCTAAGTTTAAGGAAGAAAGGTACTTAATAAATGGCTAAACAATTAGGGATTTGCCGATCATATAGACCTTTTTAGTTAGAAAATTCTTCTGACCTAGATAGTATGTTTCAAATACTAGATAAAGAAAGCCGAAGAGAAGGACTACCAACAGTAATAATAATCTTTATTTCCATATATTATATAATTTAATAATGTCTATTTTACATACTACTCATGAAATTGTTTTTATAGAATAAGGATGACAAATGAGCACACAGTCCACCTGATGGTAAGTGGTTACTGCGGCCCATAGACATCTACATCTATCCTCTATTACAAATCAAAATGTAGATGCGTTGCCACCCGTGAGGATTAAGATGAAATGCCTCATTTTCAGCAAAAATGGCCTCTGGCCACCCGCACTCACCAAGCGAAACGCAGAGGTAAACCTCTACTTCCCGAACGTTTTTCCGAACCAGTTGTTATAATCTACTAACTGGCACCCAGCGCGTTGTTGCCGCAGAAGAAATAATTGCAGAAATATCATTTTCAATTTGGAAGTTATATTGTTTAATTAAGAAAGATAATATATTAATTGAAGTTGCATGATATATAACTTTCATGACATGACAACGCACCGGTTCACACGGCGCGGCTCTCGAAGGCTGCTGTACGAGACTGCGGGTTTGAGGAAATTAACCACCCACCATACAGCCCAGATCTAGCCATTAGTGACTACTATTTATTCCCAAACTTAATGAGTTCAATTCTGCCGTAAATGAGCATTTTTCAGGCCAAGACGAAGAATATTTTTTCAAGGTAATAGAAAAGTTTTTTTCATGAACAAGTAAATGATATTGATGTCATGGAATACTATATTGAAAAATGTAAAACGTTTCATAATTTTATCTTTTTTCTAACATACCCATACCGAGAACACATTGAACGCTCCTCGTAACAACGAATTCTCCCTAGAAGAAACTTATGTCCTCAAGGTTGGACTGATTATGGGTTAGTAAGGAGTTTTTATAAAATTTGATTATGTGCCTTGTCGGTCTAAGTTTATTAATATAATTTATTACCTAGTACGATGTCTATGGCGAGACCTGGAGCGACGCGAGCGATGCCGAGACCTAGAGCGAGAGCGCTTGCTTCGATGTCTTGATCGAGAGCGACGTGATCGGGACCGGGAACGGCGACGAGACCGAGATCGTGATCGAGTTCTAAAATTAAAACCATTTGATACATTGTTAAATGGAAAAATAAAATAGATTTGTACATAAATGTTTCCGATACCTATAGAGGTAGCTAATTAATACAAAGGTATATATACTATATGATTACCGTTACAGCCTACTAAAGTCCACTGCTGAACACAGGCCTCCCCTTAAGATTGCCTCAAAGGGAGATATCTGCCATAGTTGCCATAGTTGCCACGCTTGGCAAGCAGGTTGGCAACCGCAGTTTTTTTTATTTTTAGTTGTTATTAGGAAGACACTGCTGCCCATCTTCTGAGTTGTTTCCCTCTGCCGCCTCTTAGCACACCCACGGGATGATATGGGGTAGTGGATATTCTTACACCGCCACTATACTATTGTTGATATATTATAATATAAAAAAATAAATAATAAAAACACCAACCATAAATAAATAATAAACCTGTCAATTTTATAAAAGGAGTTGGATAAAACTTGGTAAATCAAACTTTATGTGGGTGAACATGAGTTTATGAGTGTCTATATAAATTGTTGCATTCAATAGCATCATTGAGAGGGTGCCTATTATTTAACTCTACACTGTCATAATCAAACATTTGATTGTTTATTTGGCAAATTAATTAGTCGGTAATTTTAAATTAATATTTTGGAAAAGCTGTCTCTGTTTCTTAAAAACAAAACAAAAATCTCTTGCAAAAGTAGTCAATTTGATTTAAGTATAGAAACCACCTTCAATATGAATTCATATAAATAGAATAGAATAAATTTTATTCAATATAGATTATTACATAAAACTTATTAAGTAATTTTTTTATTTCCCACCGGTTTGGATAATACCTCTGTCCTGGGAAGAACCAGCAAGAAACCCAGCGGGACTTTTTATTGAACATATTTCACTTTACAATGATTTTGTTTGTACAAATTTTAAATAAATTTTAATAGAACCAGCATGGTAGCGGTCACCTCATTCCCAGGGGCTTTTTTCACTTATATATTCTTTGATATTATAACCCTTTTTGTACAATTTTTCTTTAATAAAACATTTAAACTTATTTATCGACCAATTTTGTACATTTTCTGGGATTTTGTTGTAAAAGCATATACATTGCCCCATAAATGAATTACTAGCTCTGTGGAATCTAGTAACCCGTATTACAAGCTTATGTTTGTACCTAGTGTATAAAGTATGAACATATTTATTCTTATGAAAGCTATTTATGTTTTTATATACATACATTACATTTTCATAAATATATTGTGATTCCAAAGTTTATATGTTTATTATTTAAAATTTTTCTCTAAGGGACTCATTCTAACAACTTAAATTAAGTTATAAACGCCCGTACGGCTCTGTTTTGCAAAACAAATATAGCTTGGATGTCAGTCGCATTACCCTACAGCAAAATCCCATAAGACATATTGCTATGAAAGTAACTAAAATAAACTTATCTAGTTGTCTCAACATTGGTGAGACTTCTAATCTTTCTTACAGCATATGCTGCAGAACTAAGTCTGCTTGTTAATTTAGATATATGGGAGCTCCAATGAAGCTGAACAAGACTCAAGACTCATATAATATTTTAAATACAATATTTTACATACAAATTATGTAATTGAAAAATATCCAATATCTGTATCTATGTTTATATATTATGTTTACAATGAGTTCTATATGCTAAAAGAGTGAGATTGCACTCAGTAATCTAGTTGTTGTTATTACATTAAACTTTTACCTTCTCTTATCCTTAGATAATAGTCCAATAACTGGGTCAATTGCAGCAGAAATGTAGTTCTGAGCTTCTTTCACTCTGCACATGGCTTCTTCAATCTCTCTTTGGGCTGCCTCATTGCTTTTAGTCTGTGGCTTACATATAGCTTGAGTAGCATGGTGTACCTGTGTAAACAAAAATAAAATCGGTAATGACACTTTTAATTTCCCATTCTAACAATTATGTTGGAGACACAAACAACCAGGGTTGGAAAAAAACATGATTTTTAAAAAAAATCGAATACAGCACGATTTTTAAAAAAAAATCCTAATTAATCAGGATTTTTTTGATTTTTTTCCATTTTATTATTTAATTTAACTATATTTTTTTCGCAAAACGAAACGTGCCCTCAAGGAATTGCGCGAACACAGCGCGGGGATTTCCCTTTTGTCTGACATGTGAATTAGACATGGTATTAATGGTTAAATTTATTTATTTGTTAAAAGTTACTTGTAAATTTTTAACAGGTAAAATTAACAGTTACAAATATTACTTAATTTTGTATTGAATTTTTATTTTTAATCAGTTGATGTTAACTTTATTGTTTAAATTTTACGTGTGAAAGTTTAATGAAATAAACATATCTTCATACTTTAATAGGAACAGGACTCTCTAACATTAAAATGTCTTATTAAGAGCTAAGCGTATTTAAAAATTATTAATTCAATACTTACACTATATTATAATTTACAATAAAATTTTGATTGTTATTAAATGTTTATGATTATTAGGTATTTATACTTAATATAAAAGTTTTATATTTTCTCTAAAGCTTAAGTCAAAATCAAAACCATTTAGAAGTGTGATGTTCATAGAAGAAATAGTAAAAAATGTGACATCACTAGAGTGGTGGATGTCACAGAAAAGTATATTTAGTGAAGAGGAAAAGTCAAAAATTTTTCCTGTGGTGAAAAGCAATTGTTTGGGGCTTCTTCAGGTGCTGTGGAAAGTGTTTTCCAGCTATGGAATTGTTCAGAGCAAATTAAGAAACCGACTGGGAATTGAAAAGGCTAGAAAACTAGTATTTTTTTTATTTCTATGAAAGAAAGTGAAATTAAACATTTTTGATTAAATCATTGATTTTTATTGAAAACATCATTTGATTTAAATCGTAATCAAAACTAACTGTTTTTGACTAAGGGCATTGGTCAAAACCATTTTTGCTTGATTTTTGCAGTGAAAAGTGGTTTTGAGTGGTTATGAGTTTTTAACTTAATCATTAATTATATATTTGAAATATATAATTAATGATACACCATTATTGCAGTTTTTGGAAATACAATCAAATAAGGCTTCTACTTTTATTTGAAATTATCCCATATTGAATGTAATTTATGGGCAACGTTTTTGCCTACCGATATAACCTTACGAATATGTGCGTGCGCAGTAAAAATCAGTTAAAACAATGCATTACTACGCATTTTGAATTTAAATGATAAAAAGAACAGAATGTTTGAGTGTTTTTTTAAATTAATTTTCCTTTACCATTTGGCTATGTTACTAATTCTGAACCTTCTCTGCAAATTTGGCCAGTTATTGCCAATATATTTTACGTAGTAGAGCCACAGATTACTAAATATGGTAGAGCCATGTTGCAGCTATATTATTAGTATAGTTGTAGCATGAATGGGTCGGCTCGACCGGGGAAGGACCACGCTCTCACAGAATACCAGCGTAAAATAGCAGCTTAATGCTGCTGTGTTTCGTATGGTGAGTGTAGAGAATCAGAGACCTATTTTACTGGAAAAGAGGCATTCTATCTTAGTCCTCACGGCTGACAACCCATCTGCACTTTAATTCGCAAGCGAAGATAGATGTAGATGTCTGTGGGCTACAGCAACCACTTACCATCAGGTGGACTGTGTGCTCATTTGTCACTCTAATTCTATAAAAAAAAACCTGTATATAGTATTTCAAGTTACATTATTGTTAGTATTTCACATGTTTTGATAGAATAATGGTGACAAACATGGGTGGCCTTAATACATCTACATCCATCCTTAATTATGAATCAAAATACAGGATGCATTGTCACCACTGAGGACTATAGAGCAACATGTGCCACCAGCATAAAGGAGGGCCATGGCCACACGCAGGGGTTTCCCTCTGTCAAAGTATAAGTCCATGCAGTTAAGTGTACAATAAAACTATTTGGAGCTGCTCTGTTCACTAGACTGAATCTAGTTACATGGCTGGAGCAATGTGCTACATAAATGTCAAACTGTATAGTTTTTTGTAGCAAAAAGAGATCTGTCACATCAAATTTATAAAAGATGGCATTACCTTTCAGACATAATTTATAATCATATGATTGCTATTTACTTCATTTTACGCTTTAAAATTATAATAATAATGGTGGAATTGCTCTGGAATTGTTTACTGACATAGCCTGCTCTCCGTCATACAGAAAAGAATAGAAGAGAATGCTTTTTTAATTCAATATTGACATAATACTTATTGAAAGTCATTTTATTATTTAGCACTGGTTCAGAAAATACCTCTGTCCTGGGAAGAACCAGCAAGAAACGCAATGGGACTTTTTTTTAAATATATTTCACATTACAATAATTTTCTTTGTACAATTTTTAAATGAATTTTCACAGAACCAGCATGGTAGCGATCATTCCGAGGGGTTTTTTCATTCATGTATTCCTCAATATTATAATAACCCTTTTTGTATAGTTTTTCATTAATAAAAACTGATTTACTGACAAACTTTGAACATGTTCTGGGCCTTTGTTGTAAAAGCGTACACATTGCCCCGTAAATGAATTACTAATTCTGTGGAGTCTAGAAACTGGCATTAAAAGCTGATGTTTGTTCCTAGTGTTTAAAGTATAAACATCTTTATTCTTACCAAAGCTAATTATATTTTATGTACATACATTACATTTTCATAATAATAGTGCAAAATTACTATGTTTATTTCTTAAAAAAATTATCTAAAGGACTCATTACAATTTAAGTTATATATCGCCCATATGGCTCTTTTGCAAAACAAATATAGCTTCAATATCAGTCGCATTACCCCATAGCAAAATCCCATAAGACATCACGCTATGAAAGTAGCTGCAGAATAGACGGCTCCGTGGCGCAGTGGCTTAGCAATGAGTTGCTGCGCTGGGGGCCGCGGGTTCGAATCCCGCACGGAACAAGTATTTGTATGGCCTACAAATAATTGTTCCGGGTCTGGATGTTTGTCCTTGTGCAATTTGTGTTTGTAAACTGCGTTCACGATACAGGAGAAAATCCTAGTGTGGGGGTAACGTTTTTAAAAAAAAAAAAAACTAAAATAAACTAATCTAGCTGTCTCAACATTGGTGAGACTTCTAATCTTTCTTACAGCATATGATGCAGAACTAAGTCTGCTGGCTAATTTAGATATATGAGAGCCCCATTGAAGCTTCGCGTCAATACTAATACCAAGAAAAACAGACACAAGACTCAACTCCTCCCCATTTAAGAGCACGTTACGTGTTACGTGGTAGAGCCATGCTGCAGCTAGCTGTATTAGTAGTATAGTTGTAGCACGAATGGGTCGCCTCGACCGGGGAAGGACCACGCTCTCACAGAATACCAGCGTAAAATAGCAGCTTAACACTGCTGTGTTTCGTATGGTGAGTGTAGAGAACCGAAGACCCTTTTTACTGGAAAAGAGGCATTCCATCTTAGTCCTCACAGGTGACAACGCATCTGCATTTTGATTTGCAAACGAGGATAGATGTAGATGTTTATGGGCCACAGCAACCACTTACTATCAGGTGGACTGTGTGCTCGTTTGTCACCCAATCCTATTAAAAAAAAAAGCACACTGTTATTTTAATGTTTAACATGAGGTATTGTAAATTTAATACATTATGTCATATTGCCATTTAAGAGCAAATTGTTGGCGTTAAACCGTAGATGCACAGACCGCGGCCCGCCGACAGCGAAAATAATACTCTTGTACATTCGAAAAATATTGAATTATATTCCAGAATAAAACAAAAAAAAAATATGTTCGAAAAGTAATTTGAATCTCGCGCGC